TTGGCCGAGGGGTTGGGGAGAAGGAAGTCTGTGCCTCTCTTCTCAGGCTGCTGACCCCATGACTTGACCTCAGACAGGCGTAAAAATATGGATGAATGGAAAATTGTTACAGATAATGTGCTAAGATTAGCAGTATGAATAAAGCAGATTAAATAAAACTATGCAGAACTTCAAAGTCTCTAAAGTACAACTCAGCAGGACATCATGTGTAAAACTCAAGCTAACATTTACTGTCCCATTTTGTAACTTATTTACTGATTGTATACTTTTAATGTCTTTAATTTTTTTACTGTTTTGCCTTCAATTTGCAGCTGCTGCTCTTCAATGTGAAACCTGCATAGATTCAGGATGTTCAAGCACAACGTCACTGACGTGTGACTCAGAGAATATGTGTATAACAGCGTCCATACAAGGTTTTTTCTCATTTTGACATACCGTAATTTCCGGACTATAGAGCGCACCTCAGCATAAGCCGTACTAACAAAAAAAAATGTTTTCTATACACATGCCGCAAGCCGAGGCGCAGCAGCCACATGCAGGTCTCCGGTGCACAGTGCATGCATGGCCATAACATAAGATAATTAGACAGAAAGACGCTACACGGAGGTTTTTCGTTGTTGTTTTAATTCAACAAAACCATTTTTAAACACGGGTGAACGTGCCTGCAAGTTTAGAAAAGAAAACGGCGCTGATAGCATTCATATTTCTGGATGGTTATAAAATGAAAACAGAACTTACACGTTATTACCGGTAAGTTGCATGTTTAGAAGAAAAGAACAGCGCTGACACAGCATTAATAAACCCTGGATGATTAGAAAATAAAAACTGCACACAAAACATAAATAAAACACACCTGCCTACCAGAAGAAGTAATTTGCTCTCATCTTCCTCTTGCGCACCAAAGCCATTAAAATCCTCTTCTTCAGTGTCGGAGTTGAACAGCCTCAGAAGAGCTTCGTCACATACCTTTTCTGTGGCGATGTCAGTGTCGCTGTCCGTGTTGCTGTCATCATCCCCGGGTGAAGCTGGCTTGAATGCGTTCATCCTGCTGCCGTCTCCAGCACCGAACCATGGACATGCCAAGCCTACGTGTGGCAGCACTGTTTCCCTCCTTTACTGCCAGATCGATGGCCTTCAACTTAAATGCGGCATCATATGAACTCATACGTGTAGTTACCATGATGAGGGGGTATGGATTTGAAAAAGATTCTTCGTCGTGCCGGCTGCTTGCATGTGCTAAACTAAAATGAGCACTTTCTTCGATTTCCACTTTTGACTTCCACCTGTTTCACTTTCTGCTAAAGCGCCCCCTAGTGGCAGGTGAAGGAAAATCTTCAGTAAAGCCGCACCTCATTATAAGCCGCATGGTTCAAATCATGGGGAAAAAGTAGTAGCTTATAGTCCGGAAAATACGGTATATGATTTATAAATGAAAACATTTGTTGTACTTTTAAGTTAAGAACATTTACCAGCAAGGTTAACAATTTACAATTGCACTGTGCAGCCAGTTCAGCAAATGGAACAGGAACACAACTCTACAAGGCCTGTGCAGCACCTACTCTGTGTCCAGTCACAGGCAATCAGATGTTTTCAGTCAATGTGATGTTTGCGAATGCAGTTGCATCTGCAAAGTGCTGCAACACTGACAACTGCAATTCAGAAACACTACCTTGTGAGTTTTAACACACAAAATGGGATTTTCATTTAGTGTTTTGTCATTTTTATTTTAAAGGAAATTGTCATCTTGTTTTGTAATTTAGTCCCAGGTTCTCAGCCACCTAACAGCCTCCAGTGTTTTGCTTGTGATCCAAATACGGGTACCTGCACACATTTGATAACATGCTCAGGAGAGGAGACAAATTGTTTCTCAGCTACTGGTGAGTTTTTCATGCTGAAGGAAATTTGCGAAAAGTTGTTATGTGTTTCCTGTAACATTCATGCTACATTGAATGCAAAAAGAAACACAAATATTTGTCTGTAAAAGAGAAGACGCCCATGAGGTTCTATTATATTTACTTTTCTTGTCTGAAATTAATATTTTATCATGGAAATTGCTAAAGAAATACAAGTTTTGGTATTAAAACACGTTTTGATCCACAGTGACAAAAGGTACAGCAACATATCCTGCACTGGGCTGTGTCACTAAAAATACATGTTTAGCTGGTGGAAGTCTGAGTACACTACCATTCCTGGCAAGTGTAGGAGACCTCACTATGGGTCCAAACTGTTGTGGAACCACTTTGTGTAATGGTCAACAACCAACAACAGCTAAAGCTCCAACAACCACAGCTGCAGCAAAATTAATAACAACTGCTCATCCAATAACCACGACAGCATCAACAATCTCAACTGCAGAACCTGAAACCACAACCGTACTAATAACAACTTCAGCACAAACAACAAACATTTTGTCACTAACGAATACAACTTCAGCACCAACAACCACAAAATCTAAACCAACAACTATAACCGCAGCACCACAAACAACAACCAGAGCACCTACAACCACAACTGCAGAACCTACAACCACAACTGCAGCACCAACAACCACAACTGCAGTACCGAGCACCACAACTGCAGCACCGACAACCACAACTGCAGCATCGACAACCACAACTTCAGAATCGACAACCACAACTGCAGCAACAATAACTGTAGCACCAACAAGTGCAGCACCTACAACCACAACTGCAGGACCAGCAACCACAACCGCGGCACCAACAACCATATCTACAGCACCAACAACTGTAGCACCTACAACCACAACTGAAGCACCTACCACCACAAAAGCAGCACCAACAACCACAACTGCAGCACCAACGACCGCAACTGCAGCACCGACAACCACAACTGCAGCATCGACAACCACAACTTCAGAATCGACAACCACAACTGCAGCATCAATAACTGTAGCACCAACAAGTGCAGCACCTACAACTAAAACTGCAGGACCAGCAACCACAACTGCAGCACCAACAACCATATCTACAGCACCAACAACTGTAGCACCTACAACCACAACTGCAGCACCAACAACCACAACTGAAGCACCTACCACCACAACAGCAGCACCAACAACCACAACTGCAGCACATACAACTTCCACTTCCGCACAAACCACCACAACCGCAGCACAAACCACCACAACCGCAGCCCCAACAACCACAACTGCAGCACCGACAACCACAACCGCAGCACAAACCACCACAACCGCAGCCCCAACAACCACAACTGCAGCACCGACAACCACAACTGCAGCATCGACAACCACAACTTCTGAATCGACAACCACAACTGCAGCATCAATAACTGTAGCACCAACAAGTGCAGCACCTACAACTAAAACTGCAGGACCAGCAACCACAACTGCAGCACCAACAACCATATCTACAGCACCAACAACTGTAGCACCTACAACCACAACTGCAGCACCAACAACCACAACTGAAGCACCTACCACCACAACTGCAACACCTACAACCACAACTGCAGCACCTACAACCACAACAGCAGCACCAACAACCACAACTGAAGCACCTACCACCACAACTGCAGCACCACCAAACACAACTGCAGCACATACAACTTCCACTTCAGCACAAACCACCACAACCGCAGCACCAACAACCACAACTGCAGCACCTACAACCACAACTGCAGCACCAACTACCGCAACTGAAGCACCTACAACCACAACTGCAGCACCAACAACCACAACTGCAGCAACTACAACCACAACTGCAGCACCTACAACCACAACTGCAGAACCTACAACCACAACTGCATCACCGACAACTGCAACTCAAGCACCTACAACCACAACTGCAGCACCTACAACCACAACTGCAGCACCTACAACGACAACAGCAGCACCAACAACCACAACTGAAGCACCTACCACCACAACTGCAGCACCACCAAACACAACTGCAGCACATACAACTTCCACTTCAGCACAAACCACCACAACCGCAGCACCAACAACCACAACTGCAGCACCAACAACCACAACTGCAGCACCAACAACCACAACTGCAGCATCGACAACCACAACTTCAGAATCGACAACCACAACTGCAGCATCAATAACTGTAGCACCAACAAGTGCAGCGCCTACAACCAGAACTGCAGGACCAGCAACCACAACTGCAGCACCAACAACCATATCTACAGCACCAACAACTGTAGCAACTATAACCACAACTGCAGCACCTACAACCACAACTGCAGCACCTACAACCACAACTGAAGCACCTACCACCACAACTGCAGCACCTACAACCACAACTGCAGCACCAACAACCACAACTGAAGCACCTACCACCACAACAGCAGCACCAACAACCACAACTGCAGCACATACAACCACAACTGCAGCACCAACGACCGCAACTGAAGCACCTACAACCACAACTGCAGCACCAACAACCCCAACTGCAGCACATACAACTACGACTTCAGCACAAACCACCACAACCGCAGCACCAACAACCACAGCTGCAGCATCAACAACCACGACTGCAGCACCTACAACCACAACTGCAGCACCTACAACCACAACTGCAGCACCAACAACCGCAACTGTAGCACCTACAACCACAACCGCAGCACCAACAACCACAACTGCAGCACCTACAACCACAACTGCAGCACCAACAACCACAACCACAGCACCTACAACCACAACTGCAGCACCAACAACCACAACTGAAGCACCTACCACCACAAAAGCAGCACCAACAACCACAACTGCAGCACCAACGACCGCAACTGCAGCACCGACAACCACAACTGCAGCATCGACAACCACAACTTCAGAATCGACAACCACAACTGCAGCATCAATAACTGTAGCACCAACAAGTGCAGCACCTACAACTAAAACTGCAGGACCAGCAACCACAACTGCAGCACCAACAACCATATCTACAGCACCAACAACTGTAGCACCTACAACCACAACTGCAGCACCAACAACCACAACTGAAGCACCTACCACCACAACAGCAGCACCAACAACCACAACTGCAGCACATACAACTTCCACTTCCGCACAAACCACCACAACCGCAGCACAAACCACCACAACCGCAGCCCCAACAACCACAACTGCAGCACCGACAACCACAACTGCAGCATCGACAACCACAACTTCTGAATCGACAACCACAACTGCAGCATCAATAACTGTAGCAACAACAAGTGCAGCACCTACAACCACAACTGAAGGACCAGCAACCACAACTGCAGCACCAACAACCATATCTACAGCACCAACAACTGTAGCACCTACAACCACAACTGCAGCACCTACAACCACAACTGCAGCACCTACAACCACAACAGCAGCACCTACAACCACAACTGAAGCAACTACCACCACAACTGCAGCACCACCAACCACAACTGCAGCACATACAACTTCCACTTCAGCACAAACCACCACAACCGCAGCACCAACAACCACAACTGCAGCACCTACAACCACAACTGCAGCACCAACGACCGCAACTGAAGCACCTACAACCACAACTGCAGCACCAACAACCACAACTGCAGCAACTACAACCACAACTGCAGCACCTACAACCACAACTGCAGAACCTACAACCACAACTGCATCACCGACAACTGCCACTCAAGCACCTACAACCACAACTTCAGCACCAACAACCACAACTGCAGCGCATACAACTACCACTTCAGCACAAACCACTTCAACCACAGCACCAACAACCACAACTGCAGCACCTACAACCACGACTGCAGCACCTACAACCACGACTGCAGCACCTACAACCACAACTGCAGCACCTACAACCAAAACTGCATCACCGACAACCGCAACTCAAGCACCTACAACCACAACTTCAGCACCAACAACCACAACTGCAGCACGTACAACTACCACTTCAGCACAAACCACCACAACCGCAGCACCAACAACCACAACTGCAGCACATACAACTACCACTTCAGCACAAACCACCACAGCCGCAGCACCAACAACCAAAACTGCTGCACCTACAACCACAACTGCAGCACCTACAACCATAACTGCAGCACCAACAACCACAACTGAAGCACCTACCACTACAACTGCAGCACCAACAACCACAACTGCAGCACATACAACTTCCACTTCAGCACAAACCACCACAACCGCAGCACCAACAACCACAACTGCAGCACCAACAACCACAACTGCAGCACCTACAACCACAACTGCAGCACCAACGACCGCAACTGAAGCACCTACAACCACAACTGCAGCACCAACAACCACAACTGCAGCAACTACAACCACAACTGCAGCACCTACAACCACAACTGCAGAACCTACAACCACAACTGCATCACCGACAACTGCAACTCAAGCACCTACAACCACAACTTCAGCACCAACAACCACAACTGCAGCGCATACAACTACCACTTCAGCACAAACCACTTCAACCACAGCACCAACAACCACAACTGCAGCACCTACAACCACGACTGCAGCACCTACAACCAAAACTGCAGCACCTACAACCAAAACTGCATCACCGACAACCGCAACTCAAGCACCTACAACCACAACTTCAGCACCAACAACCACAACTGCAGCACGTACAACTACCACTTCAGCACAAACCACCACAACCGCAGCACCAACAACCACAACTGCAGCACATACAACTACCACTTCAGCACAAACCACCACAGCCGCAGCACCAACAACCAAAACTGCTAAACCTACAACCACAACTGCAGCACCTACAACCATAACTGCAGCACCAACAACCACAACTGAAGCACCTACCACCACAACTGCAGCACCAACAACCACAACTGCAGCACATACAACTTCCACTTCAGCACAAACCACCACAACCGCAGCACCAACAACCACAACTGCAGCACCAACAACCACAACTGCAGCACCGACAACCACAACTGCAGCATTGACAACCACAACTTCAGAATCGACAACCACAACTGCAGCATCAATAACTGTAGCACCAACAAGTGCAGCGCCTACAACCAGAACTGCAGGACCAGCAACCACAACTGCAGCACCAACAACCATATCTACAGCACCAACAACTGTAGCAACTATAACCACAACTGCAGCACCTACAACCACAACTGCAGCACCTACAACCACAACTGAAGCACCTACCACCACAACTGCAGCACCTACAACCACAACTGCAGCACCAACAACCACAACTGAAGCACCTACCACCACAACTGCAGCACCAACAACCACAACTGCAGCACATACAACCTCCACTTCAGCACAAACCACCACAACCGCAGCACCAACAACCACAACTGCAGCACCTACAACCACAACTGCAGCACCAACGACCGCAACTGAAGCACCTACAACCACAACTGCAGCACCAACAACCCCAACTGCAGCACATACAACTACCACTTCAGCACAAACCACCACAACCGCAGCACCAACAACCACAGCTGCAGCATCAACAACCACGACTGCAGCACCTACAACCACAACTGCAGCACCTACAACCACAACTGCAGCACCTACAACCACAACTGCAGCACCAACAACCGCAACTGTAGCACCTACAACCACAACCGCAGCACCAACAACAACAACTGCAGCACCTACAACCACAACTGCAGCACCAACAACCACAACCGCAGCACCTACAACCACAACTGCAGCACCAACAACCACAACTGAAGCACCTACCACCACAAAAGCAGCACCAACAACCACAACTGCAGCACCAACGACCGCAACTGCAGCACCGACAACCACAACTGCAGCATCGACAACCACAACTTCAGAATCGACAACCACAACTGCAGCATCAATAACTGTAGCACCAACAAGTGCAGCACCTACAACTAAAACTGCAGGACCAGCAACCACAACTGCAGCACCAACAACCATATCTACAGCACCAACAACTGTAGCACCTACAACCACAACTGCAGCACCAACAACCACAACTGAAGCACCTACCACCACAACAGCAGCACCAACAACCACAACTGCAGCACATACAACTTCCACTTCCGCACAAACCACCAAAACCGCAGCACAAACCACCACAACCGCAGCCCCAACAATCACAACTGCAGCACCGACAACCACAACTGCAGCATCGACAACCACAACTTCTGAATCGACAACCACAACTGCAGCATCAATAACTGTAGCAACAACAAGTGCAGCACCTACAACCACAACTGCAGGACCAGCAACCACAACTGCAGCACCAACAACCATATCTACAGCACCAACAACTGTAGCACCTACAACCACAACTGCAGCACCTACAACCACAACTGCAGCACCTACAACCACAACTGCAGCACCAACAACCACAACTGAAGCACCTACCACCACAACTGCAGCACCACCAACCACAACTGCAGCACATACAACTTCCACTTCAGCACAAACCACCACAACCGCAGCACCAACAACCACAACTGCAGCACCTACAACCACAACTGCAGCACCAACGACCGCAACTGAAGCACCTACAACCACAACTGCAGAACCAACAACCACAACTGCAGCAACTACAACCACAACTGCAGTACCTACAACCACAACTGCAGAACCTACAACCACAACTGCATCACCGACAACTGCAACTCAAGCACCTACAACCACAACTTCAGCACCAACAACCACAACTGCAGCGCATACAACTACCACTTCAGCACAAACCACCACAACCACAGCACCAACAACCACAACTGCAGCACCTACAACCACGACTGCAGCACCTACAACCACGGTTGCAGCACCTACAACCACAACTGCAGCACCTACAACCACAACTGCATCACCGACAACCGCAACTCAAGCACCTACAACCACAACTTCAGCACCAACAACCACAACTGCAGCACGTACAACTACCACTTCAGCACAAACCAACACAACCGCAGCACCAACAACCACAACTGCAGCACATACAACTACCACTTCAGCACAAACCACCATAGCCGCAGCACCAACAACCAAAACTGCTGCACCTACAACCACAACTGCAGCACCTACAACCACAACTGAAGCACCTACCACCACAACTGCAGCACCAACAACCACAACTGCAGCACATACAACTTCCACTTCAGCACAAACCACCACAAAAGCAGCACCAACAACCACAACTGCAGCACCAACAACCACAACTGCAGCACCGACAACCACAACTGCAGCATCGACAACCACAACTTCAGAATCGACAACCACAACTGCCTCATCAATAACTGTAGCACCAACAAGTGCAGCGCCTACAACCAGAACTGCAGGACCAGCAACCACAACTGCAGCACCAACAACCATATCTACAGCACCAACAACTGTAGCAACTATAACCACAACTGCAGCACCTACAACCACAACTGCAGCACCTACAACCACAACTGAAGCACCTACCACCACAACTGCAGCACCTACAACCACAACTGCAGCACCAACAACCACAACTGAAGCACCTACCACCACAACTGCAGCACCAACAACCACAACTGCAGCACATACAACCTCCACTTCAGCACAAACCACCACAACCGCAGCACCAACAACCACAACTGCAGCACCTACAACCACAACTGCAGCACCAACGACCGCAACTGAAGCACCTACAACCACAACTGCAGCACCAACAACCCCAACTGCAGCACATACAACTACCACTTCAGCACAAACCACCACAACCGCAGCACCAACAACCACAGCTGCAGCATCAACAACCACGACTGCAGCACCTACAACCACAACTGCAGCACCTACAACCACAACTGCAGCACCTACAACCACAACTGCAGCACCAACAACCGCAACTGTAGCACCTACAACCACAACCGCAGCACCAACAACCACAACTGCAGCACCTACAACCACAACTGCAGCACCAACAACCACAACCGCAGCACCTACAACCACAACTGCAGCACCAACAACCACAACTGAAGCACCTACCACCACAAAAGCAGCACCAACAACCACAACTGCAGCACCAACGACCGCAACTGCAGCACCGACAACCACAACTGCAGCATCGACAACCACAACTTCAGAATCGACAACCACAACTGCAGCATCAATAACTGTAGCACCAACAAGTGCAGCACCTACAACTAAAACTGCAGGACCAGCAACCACAACTGCAGCACCAACAACCATATCTACAGCACCAACAACTGTAGCACCTACAACCACAACTGCAGCACCTACAACCACAACTGCAGCACCTACAACCACAACTGCAGCACCAACAACCACAACTGAAGCACCTACCACCACAACTGCAGCACCACCAACCACAACTGCAGCACATACAACTTCCACTTCAGCACAAACCACCACAACCGCAGCACCAACAACCACAACTGCAGCACCTACAACCACAACTGCAGCACCAACGACCGCAACTGAAGCACCTACAACCACAACTGCAGAACCAACAACCACAACTGCAGCAACTACAACCACAACTGCAGTACCTACAACCACAACTGCAGAACCTACAACCACAACTGCATCACCGACAACTGCAACTCAAGCACCTACAACCACAACTTCAGCACCAACAACCACAACTGCAGCGCATACAACTACCACTTCAGCACAAACCACCACAACCACAGCACCAACAACCACAACTGCAGCACCTACAACCACGACTGCAGCACCTACAACCACGACTGCAGCACCTACAACCACAACTGCAGCACCTACAACCACAACTGCATCACCGACAACCGCAACTCAAGCACCTACAACCACAACTTCAGCACCAACAACCACAACTGCAGCACGTACAACTACCACTTCAGCACAAACCAACACAACCGCAGCACCAACAACCACAACTGCAGCACATACAACTACCACTTCAGCACAAACCACCATAGCCGCAGCACCAACAACCAAAACTGCTGCACCTACAACCACAACTGCAGCACCTACAACCACAACTGAAGCACCTACCACCACAACTGCAGCACCAACAACCACAACTGCAGCACATACAACTTCCACTTCAGCACAAACCACCACAAAAGCAGCACCAACAACCACAACTGCAGCACCAACAACCACAACTGCAGCACCGACAACCACAACTGCAGCATCGACAACCACAACTTCAGAATCGACAACCACAACTGCCTCATCAATAACTGTAGCACCAACAAGTGCAGCGCCTACAACCAGAACTGCAGGACCAGCAACCACAACTGCAGCACCAACAACCATATCTACAGCACCAACAACTGTAGCAACTATAACCACAACTGCAGCACCTACAACCACAACTGCAGCACCTACAACCACAACTGAAGCACCTACCACCACAACTGCAGCACCTACAACCACAACTGCAGCACCAACAACCACAACTGAAGCACCTACCACCACAACTGCAGCACCAACAACCACAACTGCAGCACATACAACCTCCACTTCAGCACAAACCACCACAACCGCAGCACCAACAACCACAACTGCAGCACCTACAACCACAACTGCAGCACCAACGACCGCAACTGAAGCACCTACAACCACAACTGCAGCACCAACAACCCCAACTGCAGCACATACAACTACCACTTCAGCACAAACCACCACAACCGCAGCACCAACAACCACAGCTGCAGCATCAACAACCACGACTGCAGCACCTACAACCACAACTGCAGCACCTACAACCACAACTGCAGCACCTACAACCACAACTGCAGCACCAACAACCGCAACTGTAGCACCTACAACCACAACCGCAGCACCAACAACCACAACTGCAGCACCTACAACCACAACTGCAGCACCAACAACCACAACCGCAGCACCTACAACCACAACTGCAGCACCAACAACCACAACTGAAGCACCTACCACCACAAAAGCAGCACCAACAACCACAACTGCAGCACCAACGACCGCAACTGCAGCACCGACAACCACAACTGCAGCATCGACAACCACAACTTCAGAATCGACAACCACAACTGCAGCATCAATAACTGTAGCACCAACAAGTGCAGCACCTACAACTAAAACTGCAGGACCAGCAACCACAACTGCAGCACCAACAACCATATCTACAGCACCAACAACTGTAGCACCTACAACCACAACTGCAGCAGCAACAACCACAACTGAAGCACCTACCACCACAACAGCAGCACCAACAACCACAACTGCAGCACATACAACTTCCACTTCCGCACAAACCACCAAAACCGCAGCACAAACCACCACAACCGCAGCCCCAACAACCACAACTGTAGCACCGACAACCACAACTGCAGCATCGACAACCACAACTTCTGAATCGACAACCACAACTGCAGCATCAATAACTGTAGCAACAACAAGTGCAGCACCTACAACCACAACTGCAGGACCAGCAACCACAACTGCAGCACCAACAACCATATCTACAGCACCAACAACTGTAGCACCTACAACCACAACTGCAGCACCTACAACCACAACTGCAGCACCTACAACCACAACTGCAGCACCAACAACCACAACTGAAGCACCTACCACCACAACTGCAGCACCACCAACCACAACTGCAGCACATACAACTTCCACTTCAGCACAAACCACCACAACCGCAGCACCAACAACCACAACTGCAGCACCTACAACCACAACTGCAGCACCAACGACCGCAACTGAAGCACCTACAACCACAACTGCAGCACCAACAACCACAACTGCAGCAACTACAACCACAACTGCAGTACCTACAACCACAACTGCAGAACCTACAACCACAACTGCATCACCGACAACCGCAACTCAAGCACCTACAACCACAACTTCAGCACCAACAACCACAACTGCAGCGCATACAACTACCACTTCAGCACAAACCACCACAACCGCAGCACCAACAACCAAAACTGCGGCACCTACAACCACAACTGCAGCACCTACAACCATAACTGCAGCACCAACAACCACAACTGAAGCACCTACCACCACAACCGCAGCACCAACAACCACAACTGCAGCACCAACAACCACAACTGCAGCACCGACAACCACAACTGCAGCATCGACAACCACAACTTCAGAATCGACAACCACAACTGCAGCATCAATAACTGTAGCACCAACAAGTGCAGCGCCTACAACCAGAACTGCAGGACCAGCAACCACAACTGCAGCACCTACAACCACAACTGCAGCACCAACAACCATATCTACAGCACCAACAACTGTAGCAACTATAACCACAACTGCAGCAACTACAACCACAACTGCAGCACCTACAACCACAACTGAAGCACCTACCACCACAACTGCAGCACCTACAACCACAACTGCAGCACCAACAACCACAACTGCAGCACATACAACCTCCACTTCAGCACAAACCACCACAACCGCAGCACCAATAACCACAACTGCAGCACCTACAACCACAACTGCAGCACCAACGACCGCAACTGAAGCACCTACAACCACAACTGCAGCACCAACAACCCCAACTGCAGCACATACAACTACCACTTCAGCACAAACCACCACAACCGCAGCACCAACAACCACAACTGCAGCATCAACAACCATGACTGCAGCACCTACAACCACAACTGCAGCACCTACAACCACAACTGCAGCACCTACAACCACAACTGCAGCACCAACACCCGCAAATGTAGCACCTACAACCACAACCGCAGCACCAACAACCACAACTGCAGCACCTAGAACCACAACTGCAGCACCTACAACCACAACTGAAGCACCTAAAACCACAACTGCAGCACCAACAACCACAACTGCAGCACATACAACTACCTCTTCAGCACAAACCACCACAACTGCAATACCTACAACCACAACTGCAGCAACTACAACCACAACTGCAGCACCAACAACCACAACTGCAGCACCTACAACCACAACTGCAGCACCAACGACCGCAACTGAAGCACCTACAACCACATCTACAGCACCAACAACCCCAACTGCAGCACATACAACTACCACTTCAGCACAAACCACCACAACCGCAGCACCAACAACCACAACTGCAGCATCAACAACCACGACTGCAGCACCTACAACCACAACTGCAGCACCTACAACCACAACTGCAGCACCTACAACCACAACTGCAGCACCAACAACCGCAACTGTAGCACCTACAACCACAACCGCAGCACCAACAACCACAACTGCAGCACCTACAACCACAACTGCAGCACCTACAACCACAACTGAAGCACCTACAACCACAACTGCAGGACCAACAACCACAACTGCAGCACATACAACTACAACTTCAGCACAAACCACCACAACTGCAATACCTACAACCACAACTGCAGCACATACATCCATAATTGCAGCACATACAACAACCACTTCAGCACAAAGCACCACAACTGCAGCTCATACAACTTCCACTTCAGCAAGAACCACCACAACCGCAGCACAAACCACCACAACCGCAGCACCAACAACCACAACTGCAGCACTTACAACCACAACTGCAGAACCTACAACCACAACTGCAGCACCTACAACCACAACTGCAGCACCAACAACCGCAACTGAAGCACCTACAACCACAACTGCAGCACCAACAACCACAACTGCAGCACATACAACTACCACTTCAGCACAAACCACCACATCGGCAGCACCAACAACCACAACCGCAGCACATACAACTACCACTTCAGCAATAACCACCACAGCCGCAGCACCAACAACCACAACTGCAGAACCTACAACCACAACTGCAGCACCTACAACCACAACTGCAGCACCTACAACCACAATTGCAACACCTACAACCACAACTGCAGCACGAACAACCACAACGGCGGCACCTACCACTACAACTGCAGCACCAACAACCACAACTGCAGCACCTACAACCACAACTGCAGCACCAACAACCACAACTGCAGCACATACAACTACCACTTCAGCACAAACCACAACAACCATATCTACAGCACCAACAACTGTAGCACCTACAACCACAACTGCAGCACCTACAACCACGACAGCAGCACCAACAACCACAACTGAAGAATCTACAAACACAACAGCAGCACCACCAACCACAACTGCAGCACATACAACTTCCCCTTCAGCACAAACCACCACAACCGCAGCACCAACAACCACAACTGAAGCACCTACAACCACAACTGCAGCACCAACAACCACAACTGCAGCACCTACAACCACAACTGCAGCACCTACAACCACAACTTCAGAACCTACAACCACAACTGCATCACCGACAACCGCAACTCAAGCACCTACAACCACAACTTCAGCACCAAAAACCACAACTGCAGCACCTACAACCACAACTGCAACACCTACAACCACAACTGCAGCACCTACAATCACAACTGCACCACCAACGACCGCAACTGAAGCACCTACAACCACAACTGCAGCACCAACAACCCCAACTGCAGCACATACAACTACCACTTCAGCACAAACCACCACGACTGCAGCACCTACAACCACAACAGCAGCACCTACAACCACAACTGCAGCACCTACAACCACAACTGCAGCACCAACAACCGCAACTGTGGCACCTACAACCACAACTGCAGCACCTACAACCACAACTGAAGCACCTACAACCACAACTGCAGCACCAACAACCACAACTGCAGCACAAACAACTACAACTTCAGCACAAACCACCACAACTGCAATACCTACAACCACAACTGCAGCACCTACAACCATAATTGCAGCACAAACAACAACCTCTTCAGCACAAAGCACCACAACTGCAGCTCATACAACTTCCACTTCAGCACAAACCACCACAACCGCAGCACAAACCACCACAACCGCAGCACCAACATCCACAACCGCAGCACAAACCACCACAACCGCAGCACCAACAACCACAACTGCAGCACTTACAACCACAACTGCAGAACCTACAACCACAACTGCAGCACCTACAACCACAACTGCAGCACCAACAACCGCAACTGCAGCACATACAACTACCACTTCAGCACAAACCACCACATCGGCAGCACCAACAACCACAACCGCAGCACATACAACTACCACTTCAGCAATAACCACCACAGCCGCAGCACCAACAACCACAACTGCAGAACCTACAACCACAACTGCAGCAGCTACAACCACAACTGCAGCACCTACAACCACAATTGCAACACCTACAACCACAACTGCAGCACCAACAACCACAACGGCGGCACCTACAACCACAACTGTAGCACCTACAACCACAACTGCAGCACCTACAACCACAACTGCAGCACCAACAACCGCAACTGTAGCACCTACAACCACAACTGCAGCATCAACAACCACGACTGCAGCACCTACAACCACAACTGTAGCACCTACAACCACAACTGCAGCACCTACAACCACAACTGCAGCACCAACAACCGCAACTGTAGCACCTACAACCACAACCGCAGCACCAACAACCACAACTGCAGCACCTACAACCACAACTGCAGCACCAAAAACCACAACTGCAGCACATACAACTACCTCTTCAGCACAAACCACCACAACTGCAATACCTACAACCACAACTGCAGCAACTACACCCACAACTGCAGCACCAACAACCACAACTGCAGCACCTACAACCACAACTGCAGCACCAACGACCGCAACTGAAGCACCTACAACCACATCTGCAGCACCAACAACCCCAACTGCAGTACATACAACTACCACTTCAGCACAAACCACCACAACCGCAGCACCAACAACCACAACTGCAGCATCAACAACCACGACTGCAGCACCTACAACCACAACTGCAGCACCTACAACCACAACTGCAGCACCTACAACCACAACTGCAGCACCAACAACCGCAACTGTAGCACCTACAACCACAACCGCAGCACCAACAACCACAACTGCAGCACCTACAACCACAACTGCAGCACCTACAACGCAAACTGAAGCACCTACAACCACAACTGCAGGACCAACAACCACAACTGCAGCACATACAACTACAACTTCAGCACAAACCACCACAACTGCAATACCTACAACCACAACTGCAGCACATACATCCATAATTGCAGCACATACAACAACCACTTCAGCACAAAGCACCACAACCGCAGCTCATACAACTTCCACTTCAGCGAGAACCACCACAACCGCAGCACAAACCACCACAACCGCAGCACCAACAACCACAACTGCAGCACTTACAACCACAACTGCAGAACCTACAACCACAACTGCAGCACCTACAACCACAACTGCAGCACCAACAACCGCAACTGCAGCACATACAACTACCACTTCAGCACAAACCACCACATCGGCAGCACCAACAACCACAACCGCAGCACATACAACTACCACTTCAGCAATAACCACCACAGCCGCAGCACCAACAACCACAACTGCAGAACCTACAACCACAACTGCAGCAGCTACAACCACAACTGCAGCACCTACAACCACAATTGCAACACCTACAACCACAACTGCAGCACCAACAACCACAACGGCGGCACCTACCACTACAGCTGCAGCACCAACAACCACAACTGCAGCACCTACAACCACAACTGCAGCACCAACAACCACAACTGCAGCACATACAACTACCACTTCAGCACAAACCACAACAACCATATCTACAGCACCAACAACTGTAGCACCTACAACCACAACTGCAGCACCTACAACCACGACAGCAGCACCAACAACCACAACTGAAGCATCTACAACCACAACTGCAGCACCACCAACCACAACTGCAGCACATACAACTTCCCCTTCAGCACAAACCACCACAACCGCAGCACCAACAACCACAACTGAAGCACCTACAACCACAACTGCAGCACCAACAACCACAACTGCAGCACATACAGCCACAACTGCAGCACCTACAACCACAACTTCAGAACCTACAACCACAACTGCATCACCGACAAACGCAACTCAAGCACCTACAACCACAACTTCAGCACCAAAAACCACAACTGCAGCACCTACAACCACGACTGCAACACCTACAACCACAACTGCAGCACCTACAATCACAACTGCACCACCAACGACCGCAACTGAAGCACCTACAACCACAACTGCAGCACCAACAACCCCAACTGCAGCACATACAACTACCACTTCAGCACAAACCACCACAACTGCAGCATCAACAACCACGACTGCAGCACCTACAACCACAACAGCAGCACCTACAACCACAACTGCAGCACCTACAACCACAACTGCAGCACCAACAACCGCAACTGTGGCACCTACAACCACAACTGCAGCACCTACAACCACAACTGAAGCACCTACAACCACAACTGCAGCACCAACAACCACAACTGCAGCACAAACAACTACAACTTCAGCACAAACCACCACAACTGCAATACCTACAACCACAACTGCAGCACCTACAACCATAATTGCAGCACAAACAACAACCACTTCAGCACAAAGCACCACAACTGCAGCTCATACAACTTCCACTTCAGCACAAACCACCACAACCGCAGCAGAAACCACCACAACCGCAGCACCAACAACCACAACTGCAGCACTTACAACCACAACTGCAGAACCTACAACCACAACTGCAGCACCTACAACCACAACTGCAGCACCAACAACCGCAACTGAAGCACCTACAACCACAACTGCAGCACCAACAACCACAACTGCAGCACATACAACTACCACTTCAGCACAAACCACCACATCGGCAGCACCAACAACCACAACCGCAGCACATACAACTACCACTTCAGCACTAACCACCACAGCCGCAGCACCAACAACCACAACTGCAGCACCTACAACCACAACTGCAGCACCTACAACCACAACTTCAGCACCTACAACCACAATTGCAGCACCTACAACCACAACTGCAGCACCAACAACCACAACTGCGGCACCTACCACCACAACTGCAGCACCAAGAACCACAACTGCAGCACCTACAACCACAACTGCAGCACAAACAACCACAACTGCGGCACATACAACTTCCACTTCAGCACAAACCACCACAGCCGCAGGACCAACAACCAAAACTGCAGCACCTACAACCACAACTGCAGCACCAACAACCACAACTGCAGCACATACAACTACCACTTCAGCACAAACCACAACAACCGCAGCACCAACAACCACAACTGCAGCATCAACGACCACAACTGCAGCACCAACAACCACAACTGCAGCACCGACAACCACAACTGCAGCATCGACAACCACAACTTCAGAATCGACAACCACACCTGCAGCATCAATAACTGTAGCACCAACAAGTGCAGCAACTACAACGACAACTGCAGGACCAGCAACGACAACTGCAGCACCAACAACCATATCTACAGCACCAACAACTGTAGCACCTACAACCACAACTGCAGCACCTACAACCACAACTGCAGCACCTACAACCACAACTGCAGCACCAACAACCACAACTGAAGCACCTACCACCACAACTGCAGCACCACCACCCACAACTGCAGCACATACAACTACCACTTCAGCACAAACTACAACAACCGCAGCACCAACAACCACAACTGCAGCACCTACAACCACAACTGCAACACCAACGACCGCAACTGAAGCACCTACAACCACAACTGCAGCACCAACAACCCCAACTGCAGCACATACAACTTCCACTTCAGCACAAACCACCACAACCGCAGCACCAACAACCACAACTGCAGCACCAACGATCACAACTGAAGCACCTACAACCACAACTGCAGCACCAACAACCCCAACTGCAGCACATACAACTACCACTTCAGCACAAACCACCACAATCACAGCACCAAAAAGCACAACTGCAGCATCAACAACCACGACTGCAGCACCTACAACCACAACTGCAGCACCTACAACCACAATTGCTGCACCTGCAACCACAACTGCAGCACCAACAACCAGAACTGAAGCACCTACCACCACAACTGCAGCACATACAACTTCCACTTCAGCACAAACCACCACAACCGCAGAACCAACAACCACAACTGCAGCACCTACAACCACAACTGCAGCACATCCAACTACCACTTCAGCACAAACCACCACAACCGCAGCACCAACAACCACAACTGCAGCATCAACAACCACAACTGCAGCACCAACAACCACAACTGCAGCACCGACAACCACAACTGCAGCATCGACAACCACAACTTCAGAATCGACAACCACACCTGCAACATCAATAACTGTAGCACCAACAAGTGCAGCACCTACCACCACAACTACAGGACCAGCAACCACAACTGCAGCACCAACAACCATATCTACAGCACCAACAACTGTAGCACCTACAACCACAACTGCAGCACCTACAACCACAACTGCAGCACCTACAACCACAACTGCAGCACCAACAACCACAACTGCAGCACCAACAACGAAAACTGAAGCACCTACCACCACAACTGCAGCACCAACAACCACAACTGCAGCACATACAACTTCCACTTCAGCACAAACCACCACAACCGCAGCACCAACAACCACAACTGCAGCACCTACAACCACAACTGCAGCACCAACGACCGCAACTGAAGCACCTACAACCACAACTGCAGCACCAACAACCACAACTGCAGCACATACAACTTCCACTTCAGCACAAACCACCACAACCTCAGCACCAACAACCACAACTGCAGCATCAACAACCACGACTGCAGCACCAATGACCGCAACTGAAGCACCTACAACCACAACCGCAGCACCAACAACCACAACTGCAGCACCTACAACCACAACTGCAGCACCAACGACCACAACTGAAGCACCTACAACCACAACTGCAGCACCAACAACCACAACTGCAGCACCAACAACCAAAACTGAAGCACCTACCACCACAACTGCAGCACCAACAACCACAACTGCAGCACATACAACTTCCACTTCAGCACAAACCACCACAACCGCAGCACCAACAACCACAACTGCAGCACCTAAAACCACAACTGCAGCACCAACGACCGCAACTGAAGCACCTACAACCACAACTGCAGCACCAACAACCACAACTGCAGCACATACAACTTCCACTTCAGCACAAACCACCACAACCTCAGCACCAACAACCACAACTGCAGCATCAACAACCACGACTGCAGCACCAACGACCGCAACTGAAGCACCTACAACCACAACCGCAGCACCAACAACCACAACTGCAGCACCTACAACCACAACTGCAGCACCAACGACCGCAACTGAAGAACCTACAACCACAACTGCAGCACCAACAACCACAACTGCAGCACATACAACTTCCACTTCAGCACAAACCACCACAACCGCAGCACCAACAACCACAACTGCAATATCAACAACCACAACTGCAGCACCAACGACCGCAACTGAAGCACCTACAACCACAACCGCAGCACCAACAACCACAACTGCAGCACCTACAACCACAACTGCAGCACCAACGACCGCAACTGAAGCACCTACAACCACAACTGCAGCACCAACAACCCCAACTGCAGCACATACAACTACCACTTCAGCACAAACCACCACAACCGCAGCACCAACAACCACAACTGCAGCATCAACAACCACGACTGCAGCACCTACAACCACAACTGCCCCACCTACAACCACAACTGCAGCACCAACAACCACAACTGAAGCACCTACAACCACAACTACAGCACCAACAACCACAACTGCAGCACATACAACTTCCACTTCAGCACAAACCACCACAACCGCAGCACCAACAACCACAACTGCAGCACCTACAACCACAACTGCAGCACCTACAACCACAACTGCAGCACCTAAAACCACAATTGCAGCACCTACAACCACAACTGCAGCACCAACAACCACAACTGCGGCACCTACCACCACAACTGCAGCACCAACAACCACAACTGCAGCACATACAACTACCACTTCAGCACAAACCACCACAGCCGCAGCACCAACAACCACAACTGCAGCACCTGCAACCACAACTGCAGCACCTACAACCACAACTGCAGCACCTACAACCACAATTGCAGCACCTACAACCACAACTGCAGCACCAACAACCACAACTGCGGCACCTACCACCACAACTGCAGCACCAACAACCACAACTGCAGGACATACAACTTCCACTTCAGCACAAACCACCACAACCGCAGCACCAACAACCACAACTGCAGCACCTACAACCACAACTGCAGCACCAACAACCACAACTGCAGCACATACAACTACCACTTCAGCACAAACCACAACAACCGCAGCACCAACAACCACAACTGCAGCATCAACAACCACAACTGCAGCACCAACAACCACAAATGCAGCTCCGACAACCACAACTGCAGCATCGACAACCACAACTTCAGAATCGACAACCACACCTGCAGCATCAATAACTGTAGCACCAACAAGTGCAGCACCTACAACCACAACTGCAGCACCTACAACCACTACTGCAGCACCTACAACCACAACTGCAGCACCAACAACCACAACTGAAGCACCCACCACCACAACTGCAGCACCACCAACCACAACTGCAGCACATACAACTTCCACTTCAGCACAAACCACCACAACCGCAGCACCAACAACCACAACTGCAGCACCTACAACCACAACTGCAGCAACAACGACCGCAACTGAAGCACCTACAACCACAACTGTAGCACCAACAACCCCAACTGCAGCACATACAACTTCCACTTCAGCACAAACCACCACAACCGCAGCACCAACAACCACAACTGCAGCAGCTACAACCACAACTGCAGCACCAACGACCGCAACTGAAGCACCTACAACCACAACTGCAGCACCAACAACCCCAACTGCAGCACATACAACTTCCACTTCAGCACAAACAACCACCACTGCAGCTTCTACAACCACAACTGCAGCACCTACAACCACAATTGCAGCACCTACAACCACAACTGCAGCACCTACAACCACAACTGCAGCACCAACGACCGCAACTGAAGCACCTACAACCACAACTGCAGCACCAACAACCACAACTGCAGCACAAACAACTTCCACTTCAGCACAAACAACCACAACTGTAGCACCTACAACCACAACTGCAGCACCTATAACCACAACTGCAGCACCTACAACCACAATTGCAGCACCTACAACCACAACTGCGGCACCTACCACCACAACTGCAGCACCAACAACCACAACTGCAGCACCAACAACCACAACTGCAGCACATACAACTTTCACTTCAGCACAAACCAAAACATCGGCAGCACCAATAACCACAACTGCAGCACATACAACTACCACTTCAGCACAAACCACCACAGCCGCAGCACCAACAACCACAACTGCAGCACCTGCAACCACAACTGCAGCACCTACAACCACAACTGCAGCACCTACAACCACAATTGCAGCACCTACAACCACAACTGCAGCACCAACAACCACAACTGCGGCACCTACCACCACAACTGCAGCACCAACAACCACAACTGCAGGACATACAACTTCCACTTCAGCACAAACCACCAGAACTGCAGCACCAACAACCACAACTGCAGTACCTACAACCACAACTGCAGCACCAACAACCACAACTGCAGCACATACAACTACCACTTCAGCACAAACCACAACAACCGCAGCACCAACAACCACAACTGCAGCATCAACAACCAAAACTGCAGCACCAACTACCACAAATGCAGCACCGACAACCACAACTGCAGCATCGACAACCACAACTTCAGAATCGACAACCACACCTGCAGCATCAATAACTGTAGCACCAACAAGTGCAGCACCTACAACCACAACTGCAGGACCAGCAACCACAACTGCAGCACCATCAACCATATCTACAGCACCAACAACTGTAGCACCTACAACCACAACTGCAGCACCTACAACCACAACTGCAGCACCTACAACCACAACTGCAGCACCAACAACCACAACTGAAGCACCCGCTACCACAACTGCAGCCACACCAACCACAACTGCAGCACATACAACTTCCACTTCAGCACAAACCACCACAACTGCAGCACCAACAACCACAACTGCAGCACCTACAACCACAACTGCAGCACCAACCACCGCAACTGATGCACCTACTATCACAACTGCAGCACCAACAACCACAACTTCAGCACATACAACTTCCACTTCAGCACAAACCACCACAACCGCAGAACCAACAACCACAACTGCAGCACCTACAACCACGACTGCAGCACCAACGACCGCAACTGAAGCACCTACAACCACAACTGCAGCACCAACAACCCCAACTGCAGCACATACAACTACCACTTCAGCACAAACCACCACAACCGCAGCACCAACAACCACAACTGCAGCACCTACAACCACAACTGCAGCACCTACAACCACAATTGCAGCAACTACAACCACAACTGCAGCACCAACAACCAGAACTGAAGCACCTACCACCACAACTGCAGCACCAACAACCACAACTGCAGCACATACAACTTCCACTTCAGCACAAACCACCACAACCGCAGCACCAACAACCACAACTGCAGCACCTACAACCACAACTGCAGCACATACAACTACCACTTCAGCACAAACCACCACAACCGCAGCACCAACAACCACAACGGCAGCACCGACAACCACAACTGCAGCATCGACAACCACAACTTCAGAATCGACAACCACACCTGCAGCATCAATAACTGTAGCACCAACAAGTGCAGCACCTACCACCACAACTGCAGGACCAGCAACCACAACTGCAGCACCAACAACCATATCTACAGCACCAACAACTGTAGCACCTACAACCACAACTGCAGCACCTACAACCTTAACTGCAGCACCTACAACCACAACTGCAGCACCAACAACCACAACTGAGGCACCTACCACCACATCTGCAGCACCAACAACCACAACTGCAGCACATACAACTTCCACTTCAGCACAAACCACCACAACCGCAGCACCAACAACCACATCTGCAGCAACTACAACCACAACTGCAGCACCAACGACCACAACTGAAGCACCTACAACTACAACTGCAGCACCAACAACCACAACTGCAGCACATACAACTTCCACTTCAGCACAAACTACCACAACCGCAGCACCAACAACCACAACTGCAGCACATACAACCACAACTGCAGCACCAACGACCGCAACTGAAGCACCTACAACCACAACTGCAGCACCAACAACCCCAACTGCAGCACATACAATTACCACTTCAGCACAAACCACCACAACCGCAGAACCAACAACCACAACTGCAGCATCAAGAACCACGACTGCAGCACCTACAACCACAACTGCCCCACCTACAACCACAACTGCAGCACCAACAACCGCAACTAAAGCACCTACAACCACAACTGCCCCACCTACAACCACAACTGCAGCACCAACAACCGCAACTAAAGCACCTACAACAACAACTGCAGCACCAACAACCACAACTGCTGCACCTACACCCACAACTGCTGCACCTACAACCACAACTGCTGCACATACAACCACAATTGCAGCACCTACAACCACAACTGCAGCACCAACAACCACAACTGCGGCACCTACCACCGCAACTGAAGCACCTACAACCACAACTGCAGCACCAACAACCCCAACTGCAGCACATACAACTACCACTTCAGCACAAACCACCACAACCGCAGCACCAACAACCACAACTGCAGCACCTACAACCACAACTGCAGCACCTACAACCACAATTGCAGCAACTACAACCACAACTGCAGCACCAACAACCAGAACTGAAGCACCTACCACCACAACTGCAGCACCAACAACCACAACTGCAGCACATACAACTTCCACTTCAGCACAAACCACCACAACCGCAGCACCAACAACCACAACTGCAGCACCTACAACCAAAACTGCAGCACATACAACTACCACTTCAGCACAAACCACCACAACCGCAGCACCAACAACCACAACGGCAGCACCGACAACCACAACTGCAGCATCGACAACCACAACTTCAGAATCGACAACCACACCTGCAGCATCAATAACTGTAGCACCAACAAGTGCAGCACCTACCACCACAACTGCAGGACCAGCAACCACAACTGCAGCACCAACAACCATATCTACAGCACCAACAACTGTAGCACCTACAACCACAACTGCAGCACCTACAACCTTAACTGCAGCACCTACAACCACAACTGCAGCACCAACAACCACAACTGAAGCACCTACCACCACAACTGCAGCACCAACAACCACAACTGCAGCACAGACAACTTCCACTTCAGCACAAACCACCACAACCGCAGCACCAACAACCACATCTGCAGATACTACAACCACAACTGCAGCACCAACGACCACAACTGAAGCACCTACAACTACAACTGCAGCACCAACAACCACAACTACAGCACATACAACTTCCACTTCAGCACAAACTACCAAAACCGCAGCAACAACAACAACCACAACTGCAGCACCTACAACCACAACTGCAGCACCAACGACCGCAACTGAAGCACCTACAACCACAACTGCAGCACCAACAACCCCAACTGCAGCACATACAATTACCACTTCAGCACAAACCACCACAACCGCAGAACCAACAACCACAACTGCAGCATCAACAACCACGACTGCAGCACCTACAACCACAACTGCCCCACCTACAACCACAACTGCAGCACCAACAACCGCAACTAAAGCACCTACAACCACAACTGCAGCACCAACAACCACAACTGCTGCACATACAACTTCCACTTCAGCACAAACCACCACAACCGCAACACCAACAACCACAACTGCAGCACCTACAACCACAACTGCTGCACCTACAACCACAATTGCAGCACCTACAACCACAACTGCAGCACCAACAACCACAACTGCGGCACCTACCACCACAACTGCAGCACCAACAACCACAACTACAGCACATACAACTTCCACTTCAGCACAAACCAAAACATCGGCAGCACCAACAACCACAACTGCAGCACATACAACTACCACTTCAGCACAAACCACAACAACTGCAGCACCAACAACCACAACTGCAGCATCAACAACCACAACTGAAGCACCAACAACCACAACTGCAGCACCGACAACCACAACTGCAGCATCGACAACCACAACTTCAGAATCGACAACCACACCTGCAGCATCAATAACTGTAGCACCAACAAGTGCAGCACCTACAACCACAACTGCAGGACCAGCAACCACAACTGCAGCACCAACAACCATATCTACAGCACCAACAACTGTAGCACCTACAACCGCAACTGCAGCACCTACAACCACAACTGCAGCACCTACAACCACAACTGCAGCACCTACAACCACAACTGAAGCACCTACCACCACAACTGCAGCACCACCAACCACAACTGCAGCACATACAACTTCCACTTCAGCACATACCACCACAACCGCAGCACCAACAACCACAACTGCAGCACCTACAACCACAACTGCAGCACCAACGACCGCAACTGAAGCACCTACAACCACAACTGCAGCACCAACAACCCCAACTGCAGCACATACAACTTCCACTTCAGCACAAACCACCACAACCGCAGCACCAACAACCACAACTGCAGCACCTACAACCACAACTGCAGCACCAACGACCGCAACTGAGGCACCTACAACCAAAACTGCAGCACCAACAACCCCAACTGCAGCACATACAACTACCACTTCAGCACAAACCACCACAACCGCAGCACCAACAACCACAACTGCAACATCAACAACCACAACTGCAGCACCTACAACCACAACTGCTGCACCTACAACCACAATTGCAGCACCTACAACCACAACTGCAGCACCAACAACCAGAACTGAAGCACCTACAACCACAACTGCAGCACCTACAACCACAACTGCAGCACCAACAACCACAACTGAAGCACCTACCACCACAACTGCTGCACCAAAAACCACAACTGCAGCACATACAACTTCCAGTTCAGCACAAACTACCACAACCGCAGCACAAACAACCACAACTGCAGCACCTACAACCACAACTGCAGCACCAACGACCGCAACTGAAGCACCTACAACCACAACTGCAGCACCACCAACCCCAACTGCAGCACATACAACTTCCACTTCAGCACAAACCACCACAACCGCAGCACGAACAACCACAACTGCAGCACCTACAACCACAACTGCAGAACAAACGACCGCAACTGAAGCACCCACAACCACAACTGCAGCACCAACAACCCCAACTGCAGCACACACAACTACCACTTCAGCACAAACCACCACAACCGCAGCACCAACAACCACAACTGCAGCATCAACAACCACGACTGCAGCACCTACAACCACAACTGCAGCTCCAACAACCACAACTGCAGCACATACAACTACCACTTCAGCACAAACCACCAGAACTGCAATACCTACAACCACAACTGCAGCACCTACAACCACAATTGCAGCACCTACAACCACAACTGCAGCACCTACAACCTCAACTGCAGAAACTACAACAACAACTGCAGCACCTACAACCACAACTGCAGCACCGACAACCGCAACTCAAGCACCTACAACCACAACTGCAGCACATACAGCTACCACTTCAGCACAAACCACCACAACCGCAGCACCAACAACCACAACTGCAGCACATACAACTACCACTTCAGCACAAACCACCACAGCAGCAGCACCAACAACCAAAACTGCAGCACCTACAACCACAACTGCAGCACCTACAACCACAACTGCAGCAACTACAACCACAACTTCAGCACCAACAACCACAACTGAAGCACCTACCACCACAACTGCAGCACATACAACTTCCACTTCAGCACAAACCACCACAACCGCAGCACCAACAACCACAACTGCAGCACCTACAACCACGACTGCAGCACCAACAACCAAAACTGCAGCACCGACAACCACAACTGCAGCATCGACAACCACAACTTCAGAATTGACAACCACAACTGCAGCATCAATAACTGTAGCACCAACAAGTGCAGCGCCTACCACCACAACTGCAGGACCAGCAACCACAACTGCAGCACCAACAACCATATCTACAGCACCAACAACTGTAGCAACTACAACCACAACTGCAGCACCTACAACCACAACTGCAGCACCTACAACCACAACTGCAGCACCAACAACCACAACTGAAGCACCTACCACCACAACTGCAGCACCATCATCCACAACTGCAGCACATACAACCTCCACTTCAGCACAAACCACCACAACCGCAGCACCAACAACCACAACTGCAGCACCAACGACCGCAACAGAAGCACCTACAACCACAACTGCAGCACCAATAACCCCAACTGCAGCACATACAACTACCACTTCAACACAAACCACCACAACCGCAGCACAAACAACCACAACTGCAGCATCAACAACCACGACTGCAGCACCTACAACCACAGCTGCAGCACCTACAACCACAACTGCAGCACCAACAACCACAACTGCAGCACATACAACTACCACTTCAGCACAAACCACCACAACTGCAATACCTACAACCACAACTGCAGCACCTACAACCACAATTGCAGCACCTACAACCACAACTGCAGCACCTACAACCACAACTGCAGCACCTACAACCACAACTGCAGAACCTACAACCACAACTGCAGCACCTACAACCACAACTGCAGCACCGACAACCGCAACTCAAGCACCTACAACCACAACTGCAGCAGTAACAACCACAACTGCAGCACATACAACTACCACTTCAGCACAACCCACCACAACCACAGCACCAACAACCACAACTGCAGCACATACAACTACCACTTCAGCACAAACCACCACAGCCGCAGCACCAACAACCAAAACTGCAGCACCTACAACCACAACTGCAGCACCTACAACCACATTTGCAGCACCTACAACAACAACTTCAGCACCTACAACCACAACTGAAGCACCTACCACCACAACTGCAGCACCAACAACCACAACTGCAGCACATACAACCACGACTGCAGCACCAACAACCACAACTGCAGCATCGACAACCACAACTGCAGCATCGACAACCACAACTTCAGAATCGACAACCACAACTGCAGCATCAATAACTGTAGCACCATCAAGTGCAGCGCCTACAACCACATCTGCAGGACCAGCAACCACAACTGCAGCACCAACAACCATATCTACAGCACCAACAACTGTAGCAACTTCAACCACAACTGCAGCACCTACAACCACAACTGCAGAACCTACAACCACAACTGCAGCACCAACAACCACAACTGCAGCACATACAACCTCCACTTCAGCACAAACCACAACAACCGCAGCACCAACAACCACAACTGCAGCACCTACAACCAAAACTGCAGCACCAACGACCGCAACTGAAGCACCTACAACCACAACTGCAGCACCAACAACCCCAACTGCAGCACATTCAACTACCACTTCAGCACAAACCACCACAACCGCAGCACCAACAACCACAACTGCAGCATCAACAACCACGACTGCAGCACCTACAACCACAACTGCAGCACTTACAACCACAACTGTAGCACCAACAACTGCAACTGAAGCACCTACAACCACAACTGCAGCACCAACAACCGCAACTGAAGCACCTACAATCACAACTGCAGCACCAACAACCACAACTGCAGCACATACAACTACCACTTCAGCACAAACCACCACAACTGCAATACCTACAACCACAACTGCAGCACCTACAACCATAATTGCAGCACATACAACAACAACTTCAGCACAAAGCACCACAGCTGCAGATCATACAACTTCCACTTCAGCACAAACCACCACAACCGCAGCGCAAACCACCACAACCGCAACACCAACAACCACAACTGTAGCACTTACAACCACAACTGCAGAACCTACAACCACAACTGCAGCACCTACAACCACAACTGCAGCACCAACAACCGCAACTGAAGCACCTACAACCACAACTGCAGCACCAACAACCACAACTGCAGCACATACAACTACCACTTCAGCACAAACCAACACAACCGCAGCACCAACAACCACAACCGCAGCACGTACAACTACCACTTCAGCACAAACCACCACAGCCGCAGCACCAACAACCACAACTGCAGCACCTACAACCACAACTGCAGCACCTACAACCACAATTGCAGCACCTACAACCACGACTGCAGCACCAACAACCACAACTGAAGCACCTACCACCACATCTGCAGCACCAACAACCACAACTGCAGCACATACAACTTCCACTTCAGCACAAACCACAACAACCGCAGCACCTACAACTACAACTGCAGCACCAACAACCACAACTGAAGCACCTACCACCACAACTGCAGCACCAACAACCACAACTGCAGCACATACAACTTCCACTTCAGCACAAACCACAACAACCGCAGCACGAACAACCACAACTGCAGCATCAACAACCACAACTCTAGCACCAACAACCACAACTGCAGCACCGACAACCACAACTGCAGCATCGACAACCACAACTTCAGAATCGACAACCACACCTGCAGCATCAATAACTGTAGCACCAACAAGTGCAGCACCTACAACCACAGCTGCAGGACCAGCAACCACAACTGCAGCACAAACAACCATATCTACAGCACCAACAACTGTAGCACCTACAACCACAACTGCAGCACCAACAACCACAACTGCTGCACCTACAACCACAACTGCAGCACCAACAACCACAACTGAAGCACCTACAACCACAACTGCAGCACCAACAACCACAACTGAAGCACATACAACTACCACTTCAGCACAATCCACCACAACTGCAATACCTACAACCACAACTGCAGCACCTACAACCACAATTGCAGCACCAACAACCACAACTGAAGCACATACAACAACCACTTCAGCACAAACCACCACAACTGCAGCTCCTACTACTTCCACTTCAGCACAAACCACCACAACCGCATCACAAACCACCACAACTGCAGCACCAACAACCACAACCGCAGCACTTACAACCGCAACTGCAGCACCTACAACCACAACTGCAGAACCTACAACCACAACTGCAGCACCTACAACCACAACTGCAGCACCAACAACCGCAACTGAAGCACCTACCACCACAACTGCAGCACCAACAACCACAACTGCAGCACATACAACTTCCACTTCAGAACAAACCACAACAACCGCAGCACCAAGAACCACAACAGCAGCATCAACAACCACAACTCTAGTACCAACAACCACAACTGCAGCACCGACAACCACAACTGCAGCATCGACAACTGCAACTTCAGAATCGACAACCACACATGCAGCATCAATAACTGTAGCACCAACAAATGCAGCACCTACAACCACAACTGCAGGACCAGCAACCACAACTGCAGCACCAACAACCATATCTACAGCACCAATAACTGTAGCACCTAAACCCACAACTGCAGCACCAACGACCGCAACTGAAGCACCTACAAGTACAACCGCAGCACCAACAACCCCAACTGCAGCACATACAACTACCACTTCAGCACAAACCACCACAACCGCAGCACCAACAACCACAACTGCAGCATCAACAACCACGACTGCAGCACCTACAACCACAACTGCAGCACCTACAACCACAACTGCAGCACCTACAACCACAACTGCAGAACCTACAACCACAACTGAAGCACCTACCACCACAACTGCAGCACCAACAACCACAACTGCAGCACATACAACTACCACTTCAGCACAAACCACCACAGCCGCAGCACCAACAACCAAAACTGCAGCACCTACAACCACAACTGCAGAACCTACAACCACAACTGCAGCACCTACAACCACAACTGCAACACCTACAACCACAAATGCAGCACCTACAACCACAACTGCAGCACCAACAACCGCAACTGAAGCACCTACAACCACAACTGCAGCACCAACAACCACAACTGCAGCCCATACGACTACCACTTCAGCACAAACCACCACAACTGCAATACCTACAACCACAACTGCAGCACCTACAACCACAATTGCAGCACCAACAACCACAACTGCAGCACATACAACAACCACTTCAGCACAAACCACCACAACTGCAGCTCATACAACTTCCACTTCAGCACAAACCACCACAACCGCAGCACAAACCACCACAACCGCAGCACAAACCACCACAACCGCAGCACCAACAACCACAACTGCAGCACCTACAACCACAACTGCAGCACCTACAACCACAACTGCAGTACCTACAACGACAACTGCAGCACCTACAACCACAACTGAAGCACCAACAAACGCAACTGAAGCACCTACAACCACAACTGCAGCACCAACAACCACAACTGCAGCACATACATCTACCACTTCAGCACAATCCACCACAACCGCAGCACCAACAACCACTACCGCAGCACATACAACTACCACTTTAGCACAATCCACCACAGCCGCAGCACCAACAACCACAACTGCAGCAGCTACAACCACAACTGCAGCACCTACAACCACAATTGCAGCACCTACAACCACAACTGCAGCACCAACAACCACAACTGAAGAACCTACCACCACAACTGCAGCACGAACAACCACAACTGAAGCACCTACCACCACAACTGCAGCACCAACAACCACAACTGCAGCACCAACAACCACAACTGCAGCACCAACGACCGTAACTGAAGCACCTACAACCACAACTGCAGCACCAACAACCACAACTGCAGCACATACAACTACCACTTCAGCACAAACCACCACAACCGCAGCACCAACAACCACAACTGCAGCATCAACAACCATAACTGCAGCACCAACAACCACAACTGCAGCACCGACAACCACAACTGCAGCACCGACAACCACAACTGCAGAACCTACAACCACAACTGCAGCACCTACGACCACAACTGCAGCACCAACAACCGCAACTGAAGCACCTATAACCACAACTTTAGTACCAACAACCACAACTGCAGCACATACAACTACCACCTCAGCACAAACCACCACAACCGCAGCTCGTACAACTTCCACTTCAGCACAAACCACCACAACCGCAGCACAAACCACCACAACCGCAGCACCAACAACCACAACTTTAGCACTTACAACCACAACTGCAGCACCTACAACCACAACTGCAGAACCTACAACCACAACTGCAGCACCTACAACCACAACTGAAGCACCAACAAACGCAACTGAAGCACCTACAACCACAACTGCAGCACCAACAACCACAACTGCAGCACATACAACTACCACTTCAGCAGAAGCCACCACAACCGCAGCACCAACAACCACTACCGCAGCACATACAACTACCACTTCAGCACAAACCACCACAGCCGCAGCACCAACAACCACAACTGCAGCAGCTACAACCACAACTGCAGCACCTACAATCACAATTGCAGCACCTACAACCACAACTGCAGCACCAACAACCACAACTGAAGAACCTACCACCACAACTGCAGCACCAACAACCACAACTGCTGCACCAACAACCACAACTGCAGCACATACAACTACCACTTCAGCACAAACCACCACAACCACAGCACCAACAACCACAACTGCAGCATCAACAACCACATATTTTCCACCAACAACAACAACTGCAGTGCCAACAACCAAAACTGAAGCACCAATAACAGCAACTGCATTACAAACAACCACTACTTCAGCACCTACAACCACAACTGCAGCACCTACAACCACAACTGCAGCACTTACAACCACAACTGCAGCACCAACAACCGCAACTGAAGCACCTATAACCATAACTGCAGCACATTCAACTACCACTTCAGCACAAACCACCACAACCGCAGCACCAACAACCACAACTGCAGCACCTACAACCACAACTGCAGCACCTACAACCACAACTGCATTACCTACAACCACATCTGCAGCACCAACAACCGCAACTGGAGCACCTACAGCCACAACTGCAGCACCAACAACCACAACTGCAGCACATACAACTACCACTTCAGCACAAACCACCACAACCGCAGCACCAACAACCACAACTGTAGCACCTACAACCACGGCTAGAGCACTTATAGCCACAGCTGCCACACCAACAACATTGTCCGCAACTACAACTTCAGCACCCATAACTAAAACCGCACCAACGACTACAATTGCTGCATCTACAATCACAACCGCAGCACCAGCAACCACAACTGCAGAATCCGCAACCCCAACTACAGCACCCGCAACCACCACAGCAGCACCTACAACCACACTTTTAGCACCAAGAACCACATCTACAGCACCAACAACTACTTTTGCATTATCTACAACCTCAACAGCTGAACCAACAACCGAAATTGCAGCACCCACAACCACATATTCAGCACCAACAACCACATTTGCAACGCTAACGATCACAAAACAAACACCTACAACTTCAGCACTGAGAACTATAACAGCACCAACAACTACATCTGCAGCACCAACGACTACAACTGCAGAGTCTATATCCACAACCTCAGCCCCAACAACTACACCATTAACCACAACAAAAACTACCACAACTGCATCACTGACAACCACAATTGCAGCACCACAAACAACAACCACAGCACCAACAACCACAAAAGCAGCACCTACAATCACAACGTCACCCCCCACAACTTTAACTGCAGCAGAAATAGCCACATTCACAGCACCAACAATCAATACTGTGGAACCAACTAACACAACTGCAGCATCCACAATCAAAACTGTGGAACCAACAACAACAACTGCAGCCTCCACAATCACAACTGCAGCACCAACAATAACAACAATCACAGAAGCACCTACAACCACAACTGTAGCATCAACAACAACATCAACAACTACAACTTCACCTCCCACAACTATAACTGTTGAACCAACAACTACAACTGCAGCATCAACAACTAAAGCTGTGGAGCCCACAACAGCAGCACCAGCAGCAACAACCACAGCACCTACAACCACAGCTGCTGCACCAACTACCATATCATCAACAACTACAACTGTTGCACAGACAACTACAACACCAGCACCTAAAACCACATCATTAACCACAAATGCAACACATAAAACCACACCTGCAACACCACAAACAACAACCACACCTGCAACACTACAAACAACCACAGCCTCAACAAGCACAAGCACAACATCAACAACTACTACACCAACAACAAAAACTACAACCACAACACAAAAAACCACAATGTCAACAACTACTACACCAACAACAAAAACTACAACCACAACACAAAAAACCACAACATCAACAACTTCTACGCCAGCAACAAAGACTACAACCCCTATACCAAAAACTACAACAAGGAAAACCACAACATCAACAACTACTACTCCAACAACAAAAACTACAACCACAACACAAAAAACCACAATGTCAACAACGTCTGCACCAGCAACAAAAACTACAACCACTACACAAAAAAGCACAACATCAACAACTTCTACACCAGCAACAAAGACTACAACCCCTACACCAAAAACTGCAACAGGGAAAACCACAACACCAACAACTACTACACCAACAACAAAAACTACAACCACAACACAAAAAACCACAATGTCAACAACTAGTACACCAACAACAAAAACCTCAACCACAACACAAAAAACCACAATGTCAACAACTTCTACACCAGCAACAAAGACTACAACCCCTACACCAAAAACTACAACAGGGAAAACCACAACACCAACAACTACTACACCAACAACAAAAACTACAACCACAACACAAAAAACCACAATGTCAACAACTAGTACACCAACAACAAAAACCTCAACCACAACACAAAAAACCACAATGTCAACAACTTCTACACCAGCAACAAAAACTACAACCACTACACAAAAAACAACTACTACACCAGCAACTAAAACTACAACCGCTACATCAACATTTACAACAGCAAAAACTAAAACTACAACCACTGTACCAATAACCGTAGTACATCCAACCACCACCTCTACTACCTCTAGTGGTGCAACTACACTCAGGTTGACCATGTTCCACATGCTTCTTGGACTGTTTATTTTTCTCTTCTAATTTGTTGCTTCACTAAGATGATAGACTATATTGTGTGCTTTACAAACTACAGATCACATGCATAGCAACTAGTGTTTGATTGTTCACACAAAGATTTATTTATGTCCATAAGTTATTTAAAGCTAATATTTATTTTGGGTAGGTTTTCAAAGGAAGATATTTATAAATGAAGGAAACTATTTAACAGATGCTATGTAATTTTGTATTTATATTTCACTTTGCATTTCTTCAATCTAAAATAACCAAATTTTTCATTGTTAAACAAAAACAATATTCTGACTCTTGTTTCTGTTATATATAAAATGTTTATGTAAAAATAATTTGCTCATTAGCTCTTGGATGTGCTATCATGTTTCTGTATTCAAAGGAATTATAATTTTCCAAAAATTTATTGAAATAAAAATTGAATGGCTCATGTTTTTCATCATTCTGGCTACAAATAAATGAGTATCATGGCTGGAAAAAAACAAATTAACATTTTACCTTCAACATCTTCCCTCTGTGTTAGTTGGAGGCTGTGTGTGAAAACGTTTATATTAACAAGCACTTCTAACATGATGTAGACTTTGTACATTTATTTCAACAAATAATTAGTAAGCACTCATAAATGGGGACACAAGTTAAAATTCACTCAACTCATACCCTTTTAATAAATCACTTTATTACAAAGAGTTTCAACTAATGTAAATAACTGGAATTAGTTTGTGGGTGACGGTGGCAGAGGAGTTAAGTGCTCATCCCGAATGTTGCAGGTTCGAGCCCTGCCCAGTTTGTTGCTGTCATTGTGTCCTTGGGCAAGACACTTAACCCAACTTGCCTGCTGGTGGCGGTCAGAGGGACCGGTGGCGCCTCTGCTCGGCAGCCTCGCCTCTGTCAGTGCGCCCCAGGGCAGCTGCAGCTATATCGTAGCTCATCACCATCAGCGTGTGAATGTGTGTGTGAATGAGTGAATGACTGATTGTGGTGTAAAGCACCTTAGGTGGTTCCAGAACTCTAGAAGGCGCTATGTCAAATACAGGCCATTTACCATTTACAGGCCATGTGAATAGAACTAAGAGGGTAGATGTCTAAAGTTTGGGGTTTATGAGTGAAAAAACTGAAAGTGAACTTATATTATTGTCAGCAATAAACCTGGGCCAAATTTAAAATCAGGGTCCAATTAAAGTGAACAGTGTATTCTACAGTAGCTAAAAATAGACTGTGTACGGGGATTTAGCCCTAGACAAAAAAGTGCGTGTTTTGCATGGGTACCCATGGGTCTGAGTCACTCTGCTCATCTTAGTTATATTTTTGTCTAAGAAAAATGTTCAGACCAGAAGGATATAAGCTCTGCTTTTGGGAGAGGTGCTAATCAAATTATTAATACCCAGACTGGAAGTCAGAGGGGAGTTTTATTTATTTATTTTTTATCCTTTTTCCAAAGCTGGGTAAGGTCCACAACAACATGAAACAGCTAGAAAGGGACACGGGCCAAGCTAGAAACAGGAAAAGCAAAGCAGTGAAAGTATTTAGGTTGTAGCATAAGAAAGCCATGGCATGCAAGGGTCATGACACTATCCAACACTTTTCCAGAGAAACCGTGTGCCACTCTAAACTGAAACAATGGCTGTCCTCCACAGTTCCAAAAAGGCTAAACGACACCCCTTGTGAGATCCAGCAGATCTCACAAAAGAATACTTTTTAGCAGCACAGAACCACCCTTTTTCAGAACTAAAAACAACCATTATTAGTTTTAAACCTCAACAACGTCATCAGTCGGGAAACAACCCTTGAGCCACCAGCGGACGCCCAGCGTGTATCTCTTGACCAGCCAGGCGGATTTTAAGGTACTACGATCTCTGATAACCCAGAAGTCAGAACAATTCGCCTGGTTGAGACGAGCTTGCGGCCAGCTGGATCGCTGAGAACTCTCATCACAGGGGTATCAGCTCTGCACACTGGCATCGGATAGGTTAAGATTAATGTGAATGCCAATCAAACATCACTAAATTCATATTTTTATAAGCCCAGAATCACATTCTTTCCTAAGACACTTAATTAGACTCTTAATAACATCTTAGATTTAGATGAACCTTCCGGACTGGAAAAATAAAGGAATCCTATACCTGGAACACATAAATGAAGGATTGGACTTCATCCCATTTAATCAAATAGTCTCCCAATTTGGAATGGATAAGAATAGCTTTTTAGAATATCACCAAATTAAATCTGTAGTCAAACAAAAATTTAAGCTCAATAAAATAGAATTACAAACACCACCAAGGGTATTAGACTTTTATAATCTCAAACCCCCCAAACTACTGTCTAAAGTATATAAGACACTGTCCAAAATAGACGATAAAATTGCAATCCCTATTGAAAAATGGGAGGTGGATCTATCAGTTAGCTTTGACCAGGACTTCTGGTCCCAAACTTGTTTAAAAACTTTTAAAATGATCAGACACCCCAATTTACAATTAATTCAGTACAAAATTCTACACAGAGTACACTATACAGGTCATCGGATGTTCAAGATGGGGTTTGTGTCGTCTGACACCTGTACACACTGCACAAACAACATTCCTGACAATTACATTCATGCACTGTGGTCCTGCCCACCTGTCCAGGAATTTTGGGGTAGAGTATGTGAGGATCTGTCAAAATGTCTGAAATGTCATATCCCAACTTCCCCCTCTCTTTGTTTACTGGGGAAGCTGGACGATGTCCCGATTGCAACATCTTTGGTTCACGTGGTTCTGACTGCCATATGCATCGCTAAGAAAACTATCCTCTTGAATTGGAAAAATAGAGAAACTCTCTGCATTAACCAGTATAGAAATCTTTTGTTAGATCATATTGCACTTGATATAGCCTCTGCTTCCACTTCAGATGAATCTCTCTGGGCTCCTTTGATCGGTTCCATCACATAGCGAGGGTGGGGGGCCGTTGATGTTGTCCTGCGGGATGGTGTGGGTGGGGGGGTGTGGGGTCTGAGTTTGGAGTATCCGGATGTTCCCTGGAGGTGGGTTCACTGGGGGTGTCTGGGACTGGGGGCCGTTGCCCCCCTCTGGAGGTGCTTGGGTTGCCTCGAGGGGTGGACTACTGGCGGTTGTGAGTGGGGCCTCTTGGGGATCTTGGCGGCGGCCATGGGTCACTGCCTGGCAGCTGCAATGCCCCTGGGCGGGTCTGGGTGGGGGCCTGGGGGCTCGGGGTTTGGGGGTGGCCGGCCCCGTGTGGGGATCTGGGCGGGGCCTTGGGGGTCGGGTCCTGACATGTATGCTGCCGGGAAGAAGGCAGGGACAACCAGCAGTGCCTGGCGCGGGTTCGGAGGCCTCAGGTAGGCCTTGGCTCCTCTGCCGTTCCATCACAGGGGAGGGGGAGGTCCAGGAGGGGGAGGACCCAACCTTACCTGGATGTCCCATGTCTTATATATTCTGGAAGTTGTGCAAATGCAGGGGTGGGCATAGATATTCTGCTGGGGTGGGGCTGGGTTGGTGCCCTCGGACTCCGTGAGGCTCTGTAATGCTGCTGCTTTGGGCCCTGGCAGGATGGCCTGGGGTCTCCATGCCCTGGGTGGCAGTTTGACAACAGAGGTGCCTATTGGGGCCAGTAGGGGAGCTGGCTCCCTGGAGGGCTAAGCCCAACCAGCCATTCCTCCCCATCCCCGCATATTTCTCTCCTCCTGCTCCCTCACATCATCACACAAACATACACATAGGACCTTGGGGGGTGGGCAAGTCAGGGAGTGCGGGTATGGACCCCATTTCCGCATTCCTGTGGAAACCTGCCCCCCAATTGTATTTGCACCTTATACACTTCCACTGACGACATTCCACACAAACACACACTTAGGGCCTTGGGATTGAGCACATTCAACGGCATTTGGCAGGGGGATATTTCAGCCTCCTCCCGAGTGCCGGTGCCCACTTCCAATTTTAAACCGCACTTAGACACTGATGGCTGAGGGTGTAAGTGGGGTGGTGCAGTGGTATCAGCTGGCATATGCTGGATGATGCCCGCACTGCCCACTCACGACAGCCATGGAATACACCTCATGATCACACAACACTATATTGGAGCAGACGGAGGGAGACTAGGGGTCTTAGCCACCTCTGTTGTTGCTAGGCTTCCTGGGGCTGGAGGCTAGGAGGGAGATCTGGCCGTCTGGTTGGGGTCTGGGGTGGTGGGTTGCTGTGCTCAGCGTTGGGCGGGGGAGCCTGCTCATCAGCACCCCAGCAGAAAGGGTCAAACTGGTTACCGGTGATGGTTGTACCCAATGTGCAGCAGTACCGGGACCAGAGTGAATAGGGTGTGTATGGGGAGCATGAGTGGGTGTCCGGCGTGCATTTTTGTAAGTCTTGGGTTGTATATGCATGTGTGAGCATGAGGGAGGGAGCGTGTGACTGTGTTTGTGTATGACTGTATATGTCAGGTGGGGCCTTTGGGTCCTCCCCTCTCCTGGAACTTCTCTTGATGATATAGATCTCTGTCCCCCCTCCCCCTGCCACACCTGGTGTGGGGGCTTGTGCCATGGTCTGCCTGAGTGTTCGTGGCAACCGGGTCTGGGGGTTTAAGATTTTGGCATCTGCCTGTTAGATCCCGGTGGCTGCCTGGTGGGGTCTGGGTCCCTGGGCTCTGCTGGGTCCCCGGCGGGGGTGGTCGCCCCTGGGTCCCGGGTCGCTGGGTCCCGGGCTCGGCCCGCTAGGGGGTGGGAGGCTGCGGGCGGGCCTGTGGGCTTGCCGCTGATATCTCCGGGGACTCTGCCGGCTGCTGGTTGTGGCCCCCCGGGGCGATCCTCTGTGCCTCTCGAGGGGGGCGGGCGCATTCCTGGTTGCAGTCTCCTTGGGGTTCCTGCGTTCTGGGGCAGCGCCTGGATCTCTGGGACTTGGAGCTCCCCCTGTCTCCTACGCATCTTTTGGGGGCGGATCTGTGGTCCCTCACACTCTCTGTTGGACGCTCCTATAGAAAAACCTTAAATAAACAAGCGCGTGTACACACACAGGTGCTCACATGGTGCTCTCAAAAGTATGGGCTTGGGCACATTAAACACAGGTCTTAAGACTATGGTGGGCACTTAATGCGTTGTGATTTATTATCGTGATTCTTCAGTTAAGCAATATTGATTATATATATTTTTTTTTCTTTTCATCAAGTTGACGCAGTAATAGGTAGATCTTGTTGTATTGTTGTTGTGTCCCTTTTTTTGTGTCCCTTTGTTTTTTTTTTGTCTTTTTTCTGCAGGTCTGGAAGCAGACTCTTGTTCATTATTGTTTGTTTTTGTGGAACCCCCTCCCCCCCTCTCTCCCCCCACCTTTTCTTTTCCTCTCTCTTTCACCTCTGTCTCCGTGTCTGGTCGGAATTACAAAGCATTCAACAACAATAACAATAAAGTTTTAAGTAT